GGAGGTCCGAAGATCCGGGCACAGGACACCGGAGAACACAAGCGAAGACTTGCAACATATCAAGCGTGAACGAGTACAGCGCTGAGGGGATAGGGCCTACCGAATTTTCATTTGTGTCTCCTGTTTTGCTCCACAAATTACGGGGCGCCCACTGAGATGAAACAATCTTATACTAACTCCGCGACAGCCCACGTCAGCTTATTCGGGAGTCATATAGAGAGGATTGGGCGTAGGTCGTGCGCGAGTTGGCAGGGGCGCATGCGCGATTACCAGACCCTGGCGTCCCTGCAGGACGGTGTCCGGAACTGAGCAGAGATAGTCGGCATGAGCTCCATAAACTCATGAATTGCCGAAGGATGACGTACACTGACACATGCAGGGACGTCGAGCCCCGCCGCGAGGATTGAGGGTGATCATTCAGTTCGTGGGATTGATGAGGGCCCAGTAGCGTACGAGGGTGAATATGCATCCTGAATCTGCCGGCCAGCCCGAGCGCGCCCCACTTGAACCTGATTGGAAGTGGTGATATGACGGTGAGAACGATTTGAAACGTAGGCAAGGCAAGCGACATACCAGTCATAAAAACTCAGTGGCACGTCCCTACGAGGACATACCTGAAGGCGGTAGATCATCTTGCGATATATTCGGGCAGCTGTGATGGTACTGGTGGAACACCATGAGGATTGTCAACAGAAACAATAGCAGTATGTAGACCACGTACAATATCACGACTGCAATACAAGTCCGCTGTTAGATGGAAGATGAAGAGAGCCCACAATAATTACTTACAAGCACTATAACTGAGGATCTTGAACGATATCGTCAGCAGGACTGTAACTGTCGGGCAGCTCGGCTACTCACAAAGTGAGGCCGTGCTGGTAGATTGTGTTTTAGCCCAGTACTCTCGGGGACGTGCGGTGACTCACTAGACTGAGATGCGTCCAAGATGGAGAGGATCTGAATAAACGCGAGACGCGTTAGCTATGCCTACAGCATAGTGACGAAGATCCTCACATTGCCAGGCAATACGACTACCCAAATGGTCAAGAACTCCAGAACATCTGCTTCGTACAGCATCTTGAAGCAGTCGTGGATCCTAAAACTGTGCTCACGCCTGGCTACGACGAAGACGTACGTCAGAGCGAGTACAACCCCGCATGTCGAGAGAGAGATCACTAGGGAAAGGTGAGCGAAGATCTGATATTAGTCTTGAGTACGTACTGAGCACGCAGGTGGTGACGCGAGCGCCAACATGACGCTCTGGGACCACGACGATATCGAAATCTTGCAGACCTATCCATGGAGGTTGTTATCCACTCACAGAGATATAAGGGCATGGAACAGGCGCACCGTAGAACATAAACCCCCAGAACACCAGGGTGACCAACTGCAGAGCAAGGCTGAGATACGTATTCTTGTACAGGGCGCATCTGATGGACTTTGAGCACAAGCAAGAGGGAATAAATCCCAACGTGCAAGCGTACATTCGGGTTGTGATGATACTGAAGGCAAACCCTAGAGAGAGGGAAGACGCAACCTGCAGTACTGCATTATCACATGCCGTCGTATACCTCGTCAAAATGTCATGTACCTGACAGATATAGCTGAGTGTCTGCGGCATGCACGCGAGATGCGCTCAAATAAGTCAGAACCCTCGACAGTTTCGGTTTGCATGCACGACTCACCTCCATGCGCATGACTCTATACGCATCGTAATACGCAAGCAGGGAAAGTATGGACAGGACACTTAGGTATCGGCATCCGAAGTAGAACAGAAACGCCCCAGGCCTGCATCCGATCTTACCCCTAATGATGGCAAGGTCGCATGGGAGATGGGACAGGAAATCCATGCTAGATCAACATGTGTCGGCGCACTTCCAGCGTAGAGAATGGAGCGGTTTTACTCACCAGGCAAAACCAGAAAGCAGATGTGGTACAAGCATATCCATCATATAGTCTAGAACAATCACGTCGTGTCAATAGGAGTTTGCAAGGACTGCCATATGCCATCTTGCCCAAGGACCCATACTACTCGCCTTCATTGAATGCCGTCCCCACCGCTCCCGCATCCACCAAGGACATCCTAGCTTCGCATGAGGTCGCAGTAAGCGACGGAAGCTCCGTTGAGCTGTCGCAGCCGGGTTGTCCAGTGGCGAGGTGCAAATTCCTGAAAGGAAGGCGACACCAATCTCAGAACTGATCAAAGAGGAGAGGGCAGGGAAACAGGTTCAGGTTCAGAAGGGGGAAAATGAGTAGTAATGGACCGGAGGATGCGGTTGATGACGACTGCAGCCAAGAACGTCCCAGGGACGTGTTGCATTGGGCCAATACGGTGACGGCGATGGTCGGATGTGGACCGTTACCGGGCAACCGACAGTGCTGCCCACCGTATCCGTTTACGTATTGATGGAGAGGTTAATGCAAGCGTCCGATCCGTCAGCTCTGTCAGCACAGACTCACTAGACTCCGAGATCCCGGCGTCCCATTGAGACTCGTGGAGAACGGGCGAAGCGCCGACGCGAGACTGCATTACACTGTAGGAATCTGTGCCATATCAATAGGCGCTCGGAGTAGCGTACAGAAGCTCCCAGCTGACAGTTGCTACTGAGTGTCATTCGCGTGGCGTTTCGTACAATGACTGATGAAGGAAGCTAGCTGTGGGTGCCAGAGGGCGCAAACTTCCAAGTCATGGCAGAAGCTTATAAGAGAAGTTAGAGCCACGTGGCAGGCTTCCCGCGACTCATTGTTTTGTCCGATGTGATTGACCGGCGACAGCGACGAGGCAGTTCATTCAACATGGGGCGATCGACAGATTGGTTTAGGGTCAGCTCGAGGTGGGCGCATTGGTATCATACGTGCATGAAGACTTGATGCTACCTTCCCATTGTCAAAGATAGACTCCCTTCTCTAGCCTGCCATCTGTCGACGTCTCGCATCACATCGTACGTACATATGCCATGCATGTCGACGGACGGTACTGAGATGGGAATCTACGATATTCTTGGCTGAATTCCGTACAATTACAATAAGTCCAATATTGTCAGTCAACTACAGATGAGAGATCGGGAGCAGCTCGGACATCCGCCGAGGCCCTTAACGCCATGAAGGAGAGGGGCCTGCCCGCGTCCGATGTTGGTTTAAGTCCTCAACAAATGACGCAGTCGGACCCAGGAGGTCCGAGCTTTGCCTCGAGCCTCGCAATCAACGACCCATCCGGATCGAGATAAGGACAACCACTAGGATCATCAGAGGTCAGCACCACACGCATGGGAGGATAAGAGCGTGCAAGGTGTAAGTGCGTACTTGTACTGCAAGCTGTTCGCCAGCGCGCTCTCCTCCAACGCCATCACGATCTGCGAGCCTTGTTCCCACTGCCTTGGCGCAACGAGCTGCTCGCGCGTCTCCAGCCGCAGCTCTACCCTCGGCCTTGGCCGCGGCGTTGATGATGATGGGGACGCGGGCGTGGCTGGATCATCGTCGCCTGCCATTACGGCCTCGGAGAGCGACGTTGGCAGTCCCGCATAGGACGACGGAGTTGCCGGCTGCTGCAGCGCGTCTTGGCCGCGCGACCTGGGATCCTCAATGACAAGACGCGAGTCGATGCACGTCGGAGGACTGTGCGGAAGGAGGCCTAGGCGGATGACCCAGCTACCCGCCTTGAAGTGTCGGTGCCCAAAGCGCTTGTCGTACTCCTTCGCCGCCACTATGAAAGATAGTTCCCACAGGCGGCCTACACGATAGGAGAAGAGATGATTCGCGAGGTGAGAACCAGACGGGCGCATGGCCACACATAGTAGCAGCCCGTACCTTTCGCGATAAACTCCAGACGGATGGACCCCGAGATCCGCATCCGCTTCTGGAATAGCGGGATCCTGAACTTCGCTACGAACGCGCCCTCATCCTCCGTAACGTCCTCCACATCCACATCGTCCACCGGCACGCTTCTGCCGAGCAAGATCTCCTCTGTCCCTGTCAGCGGCGAGAACGCTGGCGAGCGCCGAAGCTCCTGGAACAGTGTGTGGTCCGACGTGTGCAGACACGCCAGCCGTATCTCGTCCACTGTCGCGTCCGTCAACGGGGCAGCATGCGAGAGCAGCGCAGAGACCAGGTCCGGTCCGTCTGACTCGGGTGGGTTTGGGCGGTTGATGATCGCCCAGTAGATGGGCGTATGACCCTCGACGCTCGGCTCCTGGAGCAGAGACGATAGAGAGAGGTCGTACGAGCGGCACACGTCCGCGCAGCTCTCCAGGACCCCGAACGCGCCGTTCCAGTCAGTGTGCTTGACGAGGTCGCGGAGGAGGCCGAGGACGGTCGTGCGCACTTCGCGGGCGGCGCGTCCGCTGGGCCCGAAGTTGAACCAGGCGGAACCTCCGCGTTTGATACCGCGACCGCGGCCATGGCCCACGGATGGGGGGTAGCTAGCAAAGGAAGAGGAGGGCGAGGAGAGGGGTTGGTTGGATGGGCCTGCCTTTGCATCTCCAGCTGTGGCCGCCGGTGGCACGCCTTCCAGCGCGTCGTAGGAGGGTGGTGCGTCTCCTGGAATCTCGACTTCGTCTCCGGGGAGCTGTGACTTGTCCACGATCATAATGGTCCTGTGGATAGCGGATGAGAGGATTTGCTGCCAAGGCAGGTGGCGGGAGAGACGGATGTCGACGACTCGGAATAGAGTCCGGAAGGTGTCCTAGTCAAGGGGGGAATGCGGTCCCGAAGATCCTCTCTGTATGAGAGCAGCTGCGGCGAAGCATGGATCAAGTAGATGATGTGGTACAGTCGGAGCTCGTGCCTTCGATAGCCTGTACTCACCGCACTGCGGCAGCGGAGCGCAGGCGTAATTGGCCGGCACAGCAACGAGGCGGTGTCCATCTGATCTAATCAGCGAGTCGGTTGTTTCCGACTGGAGCCTGAGGTTCGATGTACATTGTACACAGTGTAAGTACTATTAGTGTGACCCCAGAAGCTACGGATTAAGCGCCTGACCCCAGAAGCTACTGACACGCCTCCAGTTCTCGCATTTCCCTGTCAAAAAGTGTGCACGGGTTACACGCGAGAAGACGTACTTCAAAAATATCATTGTAAAAAACAAAGAAGGAAATCGGAAGGGATTCGCTCCCGATACAAGTCAATCTCAGTAGGGTTTCAAGGGTTTACTGGCCTTGGTGAGCTGCCACAAAACGATCTGCAGTGCCGATCTTTCTGTAACTTCGCAAAGTGTTCTGAACATTCTCAATAAACTTTCTTGTTCAGTCTCCGAAGGGTTCCGGGTTGCAGTATTCGAAAGATAGGAAGAGGTCTCTCGAGCGTGACATTCAGCCACTGACCGAGATAAAGCTGACTTTCAATCTGAGCGCTTCGACAATGTTGCCCCGGCCAACTTCGCTATCAAACGACTGATAACAGCGGTGTTTGAATCGGCAGTCTTCGGCATTGTGACCATCCATGACAATCTATGGGCGCTTTTCCGTAGCTTCTGGGGTCAGACGTGTAATTCCGCGATGCTCAATGCAAACCTCCACCGATTTTCTTCATATTTCACCCATATGTACTGTCCAGGATGCAAGTGAAGTGTGCAAAGTCTGAAATGTATTGGAGAGGAAGGGAGG